AGATTTTAACCTTTCATTTTGAATGGCAGGAAACAAGTTTGATGCCGTTTAGACCGGCGCATTTTGCTGAGGTTAGCGTGCAGTGCACGTATTAAGGTATAAAGGTATTCTTCTTGAGCTGATCCGCATTTAATTTTGGTTTTGTGTATTAAAGTGGATCCAAGACTCGATGAAAACAGATGAAGAAGATAAGGCGGGGGTAAAATCTGAAAACAGTAATTCTGGTGCTGAAGATAATCTAAAGGATCCTGCTTCGAATCCGTTGGAAAAATACATGAGAATAATTCAGCAGCGCAGAGAGCAGGAACTGGCACACAAGGTGATTATTCGCAAAGCTGTGTCATACAAATATTGTTGAATAAATTTGCATCTTGCTAAGTGTGCTTAGAATGAAAGCAATATTGTCGTTTTTTTAAACTTTTCTTCATTCAGAAGCTTTATGTAGCAACTTGCAGAGATGATTTATATTGCAAAAATGCATTGATTCAAAAGAAAAAACCTGAAAACTTTGTTTTATAAGGATTTTTGTTCTGGTACTCTGTGGGAGGCAATTGGTTTGTTTGGATTTTAGGTACTAGGACAGTCTTTAAATGTTCTCAGTTTTTATTTGAAAATGTGTTTAGCTTGAATCTACACAGATCAGTTTGTGTTCCACTAACACAACTGACAGGATATATTCTGGCAAAATGGAAAATTTGGCCGTAAAGAGTAGGTGAACGTTACTTTGATGAAGGAACACAGCACACTTTTGTTCAGAGCCAAACCTGATTTTCCCAAGTGTCACTATTCTAGGTGCAATGTAGCATTTGTAGAAATAGGGTGGCTCCTTCAGAACATTTTCTTTTTTTTTCAGCTAGGTGCCTTAAGATAGATACTTTTATTAAAGTCACTTAAGCCTTGACTTAAGAACCAGTTATGGCAAGTGTATTTTCTGCTTGGTTGCCAGGACTCAAAAAAAGAAGAAACGGAAGTGTCGCTTAGAGAGGAACTTCTGTCTAGTGAAAAGGATGACAGGTAAGGTTCATTTACTGTTATCTCTTCTATTACCCCATATTATTAAATAGTTACAGTATGAATTGTGGTTAAGAGACATCTGCCTCCTTGAAAAGCAAAATAAACCAGTGACCAAAAGCAACTGTCGGAAAAATTGAGGATCCTTCCAATTCTTACACACGTGAGTTGAGTTGTGCATGGTACGGAATTCCCAAGTGGGAATTCCTCCATAGTCGTGGCCATCAGAACTTCTTAGTTGCGGCTGAGCAGCACCTCAGGCCCCTTACAGCAGCTGAAGTAGAATCATAAAATCACAGAATGTGTTGGGCTGGAAGGGACCTTTAAGGGCACCTAGTCCAACCCACCCCTGCAGTGAGCAGGGACAGCTTTAGATCAGGTTGCTCAGAGCCCCATCAAGCCTGACCTTGCATGTCTCCAGGGATGGGGCCTCTACCACCTCTGTGTGCAAGCTGTGCCAGTATGAGCAATTCTTCTTGGGTTACAACGACCCTGTGCAGGTTTGTCTGTGCTGCACCTTGCAGAGAGCCTGCTATTAACACTGGACTTAGCTGTGTTTTATCAGTAGAATCTTCAGTGTTTACCAAACAAGTTAACACACTTCTGTCAGAGATTTTGGCTGCCTGCACCAAGTTACCACAGCTCAGATATTGCCTCTGGTTCTCTCTAGACATCAATAAATAAGGATAAGTAAGTAGCATTTATTTGCTTGAGAGGAAGAAAAAAACAACAACCCTCTATCAAATCTTTCACTTATTTAGAGGATGTAGAATTGAAAATATAAAAGCCAAAAAATACAGTTAACTAAATGCTCACTGTAGCCATAGTGATGATTCAGTATTATCTGTGCCTTTGAAGTGCTGGTTTAACCCTGCTGCTCCTGAGTGCAGGGTTCTTCTCACCAGGTAAGCACTGCAAAAGTAGTGATTGGGCAAGTACAGCTTTTGGTAGAGATGGTTTTCTGCTAATGAAGGCCCAAAGCCTCACCCTTAAGGCTTGGTTATTTACTTCAGTTCACTGAAACAGCATAGGCAGTCTCTTACTTTTCTCTTTACAAGTATTTATGATACAAAACTACTTTGGACTAATACCACTTCTTTTCCCTCCCTCCTATTCTTAATACAGCACTGCAGGCATTTCCCATGGAGATGTGGATGAAAACTTCTGGTGAACAATATCTACTGATTTTACGTTATTATTTTTTTTTTTACAGTAGAAGTTTTTAAAGCAGCTCTCTGCTTGTAAAATGTTGTAATAAATGTTACCCACAAAGGCTGCAGGCTCTATAATGGTAAATTAATAAAGCTGATTTTGAGCTGTCTCATCACTTCAGTCATTGACTTCACGGCACCTCCAGAAGGAGGCCCTTGACTAGGGCGGAAGAAAGGACAAAACAGGGCAAAGAAATGCATCCAGCTTTGGTGCTGAATTCTTATAAACTTTGTCAGCTTTTCAGGTGGTCCCCCTTTCCCCAACCCCCACCCCACCTGCCCTTTTTCCCCCTGTTAGAAACCGCTGGTTAAAGTAACAGTGGGTAGGTTATAAAAAAAAATCCATTGTCATCACCCATTTAATTTAAAGGTGTCCCCTGTGGAGCCCCTTGGCTCCTCGCATGGTTTCAGAGCGTGGCAGGCCCGAGCTGACACAGCCCTTTTACTGCTCTGGCAGGTGAAGCAAATGCTTTTAAAAGCAGCCTCAGCTTGTGTTATCACCTTGTTGGTATTAACCAGCCCAGAATGGAGAGATTCAAATAAAAATGCTATTTAACTCATCTTTATTTAAGCTTTGTATTTTGTAGGTAGCTTATAGGCAAGATCATTAAACTTTATTTACAGTATAAAATACAGTATCGGTTTATCAATGAAGTAATTTTGGGTGGCAGCATATATTACAACTTGCACTGCATATGAGGCTGCTCATCTTGACCTTAACTACAAGAACATGAAGCCAAGTTTGACAGAATTTAGGGGCAAAAAACAATGAAGCTCTGTCTCGAATTCATCAGCTGCCAAAACACGCTGTACCAAAAAAAAAACAACCAAAAAGACCACGACAGAAATAAACTTTTGCTTTTGCAAATTCAGCTAGGCTGTGATTTGGCGGCTCATCTGATGATTTTTTTTTTTTTTACGCGCTGCTTCATTCAGTCTTGCAGCAATGCTGGCGTTTGCCAAATTTTCAGAGCGACTCCTCCCGTTTGGTGTCCAGAATTGGATGGAGAGTGCTTGTTGCATTATGCTGGCCTGGAACAACTACCACTACTTCATGCTAGAAACACTCGCTGACTTACCATGCGGAAGCGTAACACCTACAGGGCATCCCTTCCCATCTGGGAGCAGAAGGGTAGGTACTACTAAACAAAAAATATGTTTTAACTTCAGAAAGAGATGTAAAAAAAGCACAGAGATGCGCTAGGATGGAGTAGCTGTAGGTCTGTTTTCAAATAAGCGTACACAAGTGTTGGCTATTATCTACAAATATTTATTTTAACACTCGGATGTAACTACAGGAAGCCCTTGGCACTGATAGAAAATATTGATTCACTGTTAGGTTACAAAAATTTATACATAGCAAAATTTAATGCTCTTTACATAAAAATATTAGACTACTTAAACAAAAACTTCAAAAACTCCCAGTAATAGCTACACTGAATTAGAAAAGAATTAGGCTTTAAGACACTGCCTCCATTATTACCCTTATGCAAACACTGGGCTAGAACATCACCTGCGTTGCTGTAGAAATGTCTCCTTCATGCAACAGGTAAGAACATACACTAGGCTATTTTTGTCATATTTGCTCTATTGACTTCGCCCCTTTTTTGAAACTGTCAAATTAGACTTCAGTATTTAACAAAAAAATTATAGTCGTGGTTAATACCCCCCAGAAACACCTCTTAAGCTCTTAATGCCAACTTGAAGAAATTTGTGCTTCCTTCAATTTGTATCCAGCGAACAGTCAAAACTACTGAACCACGCATCAGCTTAACATGAGTATGACTTCAATATTGAATTTTTTTCAGATGATGGATGTATTTTACTTTCCCCCCCACATTTATATATATATATCATATAGAACAAACACCAAATATACCATCACTAATACTCAAGATATCACTGAATGCTTCTGAAAAAAACCATTAATTAGAAGGCAGACTTCTACGGGAAGTGATTTTTAAAATGGCACCGGTTTGTTGTTTGTTTTTTTTTCTGAACACCACATTTTTCTTAATGTTCTAATTAATTTGTAAAAAGGAAAACACATACGCACTGACTATAAATTTGCTAAGCACCAAGATAGAGAAAGGTGGACATCCTGTATTCTCTTTTATGGCTGTAATTTTTATTGGTTATGTAAAACTCTGCAAACTTTTTCATCCGGCCATTTGGAATAGTCAGATCAGCATCATTTTAACAAGGTAACACTTTTCACTTACTAAAAATGTAGGATAATGGTCTCCTGCCGCTATATAAATGCTAAGACATTTATAGAAAATAAATATTAAGGCAAAAGCTGACATTTATTTTCCAAGAAGGGGATCATTATCCAGATCCGGGGATCTACATTCCATTAAATAGTTAATAAAAAAGATTAAAACTTGGGACGCCTGCTCAACGCTCGTGGGAGCGGGACCTGCCGTGTCATAAAAAAAAGGAGCGGCATGAGGGTGAGGCTCTGGCCCTGCAGCCCGTGGGCAGAGGGTTCAAAGACGGCCCCTGCTGAAAATCGGGCACTGCTGGAACCGTGCCGTGAGCACGAGCCGTCAGAAATCCCCGCCGGCCGCACTGTTGTTTAGTTTATAAATGGAGATGCTAAAAAGCGCGTGTCGTACACACGCCTTTGCGTAAGGTCTGCGCAGACACCTCCTGCCTGCTGGTTCGGAGCCCCCGCCAAGGGTTTTGTGCAGGGTGTCGCTCTGGAGGACGTGTCAAATATCGAAAGCCTCAAAGAAGAGTAATAATTTGGTCGCTTATCGTGAAGTGTTGCCTTTTAAAATGCCTGGACTAAAACCTCCATTCTCTGTATGAAAGGATGGAAGATTACCCATTCCCTACGAATGTGCTCCAGGAGCTGGAATGTGAAGCTTTTGCAACTTCTCTCTAAATTTTGTTTGGTAGAACACACATCTGTACTGCGGAGCAGGTATTTGCTGATTTGTCAAGAGCTACAGAACTCTTCTGCTGAATTACTGTGGCAAAAACATTTATGTGTAAGAATTGAGTTGCTCTTTTGACCGAGACTGGATATCCTGAAGCTCCTGCTCTTCTTTTGCTTTGATATCTTGGTAGGCCTGCATTTTGCTCGCATCCTTTAAGTAGGCCCAGTTAGAAGACAGTATCATGAGGAAGTGGATCTGGAAGAGAAGGGTGAGCATGATGGCAAGTGAGCATGTCAAGAGGCAAAGCAAGCTGCTAGTTAGATTAATAGACGCTCTTTACAATTTACACAACCCAAAAAAAAAAGAGTTACTCTACGTTAATAAGCGTTCTGTTATTAAAACGAGCACAGAGGCTATTTTCAAAGCTCTCTACAACTCAGCATGCTAATAATACTGCAGTCGGTTATTCACAATTTAGAGGAGGTTAGTAGAACAGTAATAAAATGAGCTACAGAGTTGTACGGGTCCATTAAAATGCAGAATGGGGGAGGAAAGCAGGGAACGAGTTCTGCACGTGGCAGCGTTATGTCAGCTGTAAACTAGGAGGTGCTCAGAAGAACTGCGTCCTAAGGTCGTGGTGTTTATGCATATCCAAGCCCAGATCCTGGGGAGTCTTTTCCCCCAAAGAGCAGACGAGAATTCCACCCTCCCCCTGGAAAAAGCCTGGAACTGTAAACAGTTTTATTTACGACAACAACGAGGCTACATTAACATATCAAAAGAATTAAACAACAAAACATGAGTCCAAAACTAAGCAAAAGCATGCAGTTTTTGGGTTAAGAAGTCTCAATTGTATATTTTTATAACTACATTTTAAACTTCTGTTGTCCAACCTCAGGTGAAGAGTTTTACATCATATGTAGCAACCAGTTCATGTTTTTTATTATTATTATTGTTATCATTATTATTATTGTGTGGATTTTTTTCTAGCTTGTGCATTCATTTCTTCCCAACTTCTTTTCACCATACTTCATGTAAAAAAAAAATAAATCTCTGTCTGAAAACACCGATTCACTTCTCCATGTTTAAAAACCCAACAGCGTGAAAAGGTCTCTATGATTTATGCATGGTTTTGCTTCCCGTGCAGTCATACTTACAGTTTTGAGATCTGGCTACTGAGAAATCAGTTACTAAAGTGCAAGCCGTACAAGAACAGAAGCTATTTATATGCTGTTTCAAACTGGTTCAGGGTCCAAAAAGAAAGAACGTGATTGTTTTACGCAGAGCTAAGACAAGGATGTATTTCCTTCCAGAGCGAGCATGATTTGGCAAATACTTAGAAATGAAGTGAAAGAAAATAATCGACTTTTATCATCTGTGCGCTGGAAATACAAGCCAACTAGTTCGTAATACCCGGGCTTCCGATTTCTGCCAAAAGAGACTGGCGCTACTTCGCTATTCCTTTTCTTTTGTATCTGATATATTTTTTATGCTTGGAGGGGGGTTCATACTCAGTGTTCAGGATGAAGAATAAATTAATAAATCTGACCCTGAACTGTTCCAGTTTTAGAGGTGACCATTAGGAAGCAAATGGAGGCTTGACATGGTAACACCTCACCTTGAGAAGGATGATTATTTATAAACACCCCTACAGTAACTGAATCCTCTCGACATGAAAGAATAGCCAGATCTCATCCACATCATAGTTCATATACAAGAAGTCACTTTATTAATCTGATAAGCTAAACGATGCTCACTGAAGCTATTTACAATTACTGTAACAAAATTCAGAAAGCTAGACTTTTAGCCTAGGGTGTCAGTGGTATTTCAAGCTACGCAACGCAGCTCTTTAACTGGGCTTAGACAATTTAGAATTTAGTGCAGCAATCTTCCCGACTCTTAAACTTCAAAACCGCATAGTTATATGTAGTAGCCATCATGTAGATCAGCTGGTGGAAGAGAACAAAATACAGGAGGGTAAGATACAACAAGGTGACGGCTGAAGCCCACTTGGGCAACTGTCGACACTTTTACAAGAGATGTTTTTCCTGAGCTGCTTCCAGGGTGAAGACGCGAGGGAAGTCACTCGCTGCTTTCCCATCTAGCGGGAGAGGACAACCTATGGATGGACCTAAAGCTACTTTGTCAACAAATCGTAAGGGTTACACCTGGACTTGGCTGACATGAGGGTAGAAGCTGGCAGCTAGAGGAAGCATTAAAGAGAAATACAGAGCGAGTCATCTCGTCAATGTCCTTTTTCCACCTGCGACCCGTGACTGGCATTGCAGAGTTGGGCTACTCAGACTGCCTGGGCCCAGACAGAAAAATCACCACCAAAACCCAAGAGGTTACGAGCGACGGATCAAATAAAGTAGAGAAACGAAAAAATATAGGGGATGTAAACCCAGAAATAGTGGGTGGAAGCAGGGCTTTTTGATGGACATGCAAAGAGTTTCTTTCTAAAGATGGGGGAGCTGGGTTAAGATGACTTCTTAAAGCAAACATCTGGGACCTGCTGACTTGCAATGACCAAACCAGGGCAACAAATAATGGCAATGACAGCTCGCCTACCTTAGCATCTAGTATCGCTCATTTTTAGATACACAGAATTTAATCTTAAAGCATCTTAAGCCCGAAAGGAACACGTTACACAATAAAACAACAACAAAAGTGCTACCCACCAATGCTATGACAGTGGCACCAGCTCCAGCACAAGCCACAATGAACAGGTGGTAAGACATGTAGAACTAGGGAAAAAACAGGTTAAAAACAGTGAAGCGATTAAGTATAGTATAAAATGCATTTCAACTGTCTTAGAGAATAAGAATAATAAAATTATCTTTGTAGCAAAGTATTCAAAGCTATAGAAAATAAAAATGTTCTGGAATAATTTTCATTTTCCGGATGACCTAACACAGAATAATTTCAGTGCTGTGTTTAAATCAGTCCCTTTATAGCATTAGCATTAGTTTTCTCAAAAAAAATTCATGTTATTTATTACACAGTGCCCAAGGGACTTGGAGGCAAAAGCTGTGCACAGGTTATGTTTCTGTACCTCGTTCGTGTTGCAGATGTTCTCTAAAATCGGGCCGCAGGCTTTGCCAGGTACAGCATTCCACGGGATGATGCCTGAAACACCACAGCAAAAGAAACTACTGATTTTAGGCATCGACACACGCTTTCCCATTCCTCTCTCATGTTTTTCCACCCGCTTGCCACTTGTGTTCCTATTCTGGGCATCTGTGTGTTGACTAGCCCAGCTTCGAGCCGGCAGGAGGAATTCAAACGACTCCCTCGAGTTGCGCTTTCTCCCGACGCCGAGGTTCGCAGTTCTTAGACACGGTTTTCCCATACGGCAGCCAAACGGTGCGCTGGGATTATGCGCTTCGGGTCCCAGCCACGTACTGCCTGCTCCCCTGCTTCGCACCGAAAGGGATAATTGTGTCTCAGAGGTACTTGGCACCTTTCACAGAATCACAGAATGTCAGGGGT